ACAGAATTTTAAATCCAATACGCCAATTTTGTCAATTAAATATCCTTATAGCGTTCAATAAAAACTCTCTCGTCCGTTTTTTTATGAAAAAACAATAGAAAACGATAAATTAACTGTGATGGTTCGTTGTTTCTCTGGTTCTACCAAAAAATTATTAAAATCGCGGATTTTACGCTCGCATTCGCTTTAATTACGGCAGGAAAAAATCTGAAAGTGCAAGTTATTTTTTTAACATATGTACTCTATTGTTCCACTGCGATATGCAGCTTTGTATGTAATCGTTGCAATACATAAGAGGATATACATTTGATGTCTATATTTATGGGGGCATGAGTATTTGTACAAATCCCCATGACCTACGTATATTATAACAGAATGTTAAAGAGCGTAGTTGTCTCAAGGTATTAATCCTTAAAGTATTTATTTTTCTAATTATTTGTAGTCATACCGTTCTTGGAATAGTAGAACGTATAAAACAATCGTAAAATCTACATCGAGGATGATAAACGAGCTGGTCAATATTCAATGCACTGTGTTATTAAATAAGTTCAACCATTAAATATTTTTTATCTGTATATTCAACGAATAAAATAGCCTACAAATGGGAATGGTTACACGGTCAAATTATCTACGCATAATAATGCCCCAATTACTGATTACCAATTTAATTATTTTTATTTTTATTGTGTGCAAATATATTCCAACTGTTGGATAAACATTTAATTTATCGATGTAACAAAATATACAAGTGTCAAGAATAATCTCTCTATCTTTTCTCTACAAAACATTTTATTAAAGTAAAAAAAAATAATCACAAGCGACAAAGAGGGCCAATGTCAATAAATTTGTCATCACCCTTACAATTACATGAAGTAAGATGTACAGAGCATATATCGTTTATGTACACAAGTCTGTCGGCCATTGAGTAATAGTACATAAAAAAAATACAACGAAGGAATGAGAACAGGGTCTGGCTTCATGAAAATGTCAATGACTTAATTTCTCCTGGCCTAGTATTGGTAGCCAGCATTCCCACTTGTTTGATAGGAGTTTGGCCCTTGGTACAGCGAACCACCAGCACCACCACCACCACCACCGCCACCAGTTCCTCTACTTCCCTGACCTGAGAAATAAATTATTGTATAGATGGATACATAATTAAATCTTTAGAAACTCAGTTAAGGCATCCAGAAATAAAGGAAAAATTTTAATGGGGACGAAGAAGCAATCGGTATGAATTGATCAGAGAAAAGTAAGGAAATTCTGTCATTACCTCCACCATATCCACCTCCTGGTCCCCTCTGTCCAGCTCCACCATATCCACCCCCTGGTCCCCTCTGTCCAGCTCCACCATATCCACCCCCTGTTCCTCTCTGTCCAGCTCCACCGTCCTGATTCTCGCCTCTGGCCTCAGCAGCAAGCGAAAGTTCAACTCCTCTCTGAATCTCTGGAGGAATCGGTGGTGGTGTCGGGATGTGGGCCCCTTGGGCATGGAAACCATCTGCATCAGCTGTGTAGGTAATCGTGTATTGCTGGCCATCAGGCCCAGTGTATGAATAGGAACCACTGACAGCCTCATTATCACCTGATTCACACAGAAAAATAGAACAAAAATTAGTAATTTGGAAATTGAAAGTTGTAATTGAAAATGACAAAATTCTTCTAAACTTCCCAAACTTTTTACTTGATATTAAAAATTTCAAGTGTCAAATTTCTATTTCACATTTTTTATTTCTAATTTCAAAACACATCGAGGTGCATGAAGTAAATTTCGAATTTCGAATTTGCGACTTCGCGTGTCGAATTGAACTCTCGAATTTTGAATTTGCGACTTCGCGTGTCGAATTGAACTCTCGAAAAGTTGTACTTTTTAAAAAACACTTGAGTTGATTTTGCTCAATACCGAATTTACGCAACATCAATTTGAATTATTTCTAAAAGAATAATGATGAATGACCCAAAAAACTGGAATTTTCGGGCTTCCGTGGTTTTACGACTAGAGATTTTCTAGAACGGTCGTTTCGCAAAATTACACAAACCTACATCGATTGCAAAAAACAAAATTTAATTCCATCATTAATTCAA